AAGTGCGGGTAGCGCTGATTTAGGTTTGTAAAGCTGTAAATCCATGGATCAGTAGTTCATATGGTACTTTTTTTATGCTAAGTAATAACTCCATCTTTCACTCAAAATTTTCTGGGACGGTTAAGTATACTCTCTAAAGAAGCCCGAATTTCAAGTTTTGATTTTCACCAGCGTCCGTGATGGGTAAGGGTGAAGAAAAATGTCACCTTCGTGAAAATAAGGGCAATGATTTGAGCAGCTCAAGACCCTAAGTTTTGGCCCCATGGACTTCGACAGCCCTGTTCACAAGGCCACACGTGCCGTTGGCGAGAAGGCTCTGAATCTCCTTGTCCATCGCAGCTTTCATAGCCTTCCCGTTCGCCAACGCCTCGTTGACCATCATGGTCGACACGTCCCAACGCCGTTCCTGGTCGGCGTGCATGTCGGGATCGGTCAGGCCACCATCGGCGTACGCATCGTCTAGCAGGTGGTGCAAGCAACCTTCGGGTGGGTGTAGCTCTACTTCTCTAGAGGCTTGACAAAGTTGGGGCGCGTCAAACGTTGTAGTGCTGGCTTGTCGACCGGAACCTCCACCACGTCGCTGCCACTGGGCTGCTCCCCCGTCGACACCTCCCCTTCGTCGTCAGCAGCTTCTTCACAACTTCCGTGACATCGCTTGGCGAAAAGTCGTCAAGCTGCTCCACTGATCTCGGCTTCCCTGGCGACTGGTTCACTGTCGTCGACTCATTTGTCAATTTCTCCCCTATCGTCGGCTCCCCCAAAGTCGGCGGCTTCCCTTTGTCGCCAACTTGCACAACATCACGTCGCCGCCTGCAATTTCATCGGCCGGCATCGCATTCAAAGCACCAATTTTCCCCTTATCGATGTCGGCCAACATAGTCATCGACCTAGAGAGGAAACTGACAAAGGGTGGAGTGGAGGCGATCGCGGTAGGAGGCGAGGCCGACGGCGGGACAGCAGTCATAGAGGGAGGAGTATGTGGAGGAACGTCCGCGACGTCAGGCTAATCATCCTCGATGAGCAGCCGGATCGACGCCGGCAAGAAATCTGTCAGCGGGGAAACCTGAGTCTTTGCGAAAGTCGACTCATGCTCTTCCCCTTTTTACCTGGTTACGGAAATAGAACACCCACATTTCGATTCCATTCCAATTTCGTCATAGAGTTACAATGTTTCCCGTGGCGACGAGGGGGAAAGTAAGCGAAACGCCTAAACTAGTTTCACGCACATGCCGCCCGCCTAGCTGGAACTCTTGTAGTGAGCATTCATTGTATCATCTCGTATCTGATCTTGGTTGTTTGAATATGTGTCAATGCGGTTTGTACAGTACAAGCATTGAAGACAGCTGTCAACCCTGCACTTCATTCCAATTTTTGCAACTTCTCTGTAGTGACCCCATGTTCTGAAACTTAGGGCCGACTCGGCAACTGCGCTGCCACCAATGTACCGTACACTATTTCAGCTGTAGTTTTGGTGTGCGAGGGGCGAGGGAGCCGAGCTGGCAGGCTGATCTGGACTGCACAACTTGCTTGGGCAGTGATTTGTCGCTCCTCCCAGTTGGGCTAAAAACTCCACGATCACAACTCAGGGTTAGGAGGGTTGTACTTCATTATTACCCAGGGTAGTCCTTGCCTAATCATCTGAGAAGGATCCCTACTGCTTTGCTTCAAACACCCTTTGTTCATTTTCGGGTAATGAGATGGGCACACAGAGACTTCAAGGCTATTGTTTCGCAGCCAGAAGCATTTCCTTCTAAAGAAACTCACACTTAGTGCTCCGAAATAGAGGGCGGATCGGCATTGACCGGGTTTTGACTGCCGTTGCCTCACAAAGGGTATGCTATATTCTACCTTCAATAAATTTCATTTCATAACTACTCGTATAAAAAAATTTGACCAAGGAGAAGTACCCTCGCGCGGTTAAGATAGCGGCGGTTAAAATACCGCGGACTAGGTGTAACATGGAAGACGACCAGAGGGCCGTTTGCATTCGGGCAACTTTCAGATTCCGGCTGATAACTGATTTTCAGGGACATTCCTGGATTCTTTTTCTGGACGGCGGGTTGAGGGAGCGGTTCGCTCCAGTGCTGCTGATGGACTGGATTGTCTCTTTCTTCTAGAGCTCCTGCCGTCGTCATCTTCAGGTGTCCTTGCGCAACGGTGGAATGAAGCCCATTTGTACTGTACAGTACACTACATAAGAAATCGTTGTCCTATGCTGTACACGTACGTTCCGAGTGAAACAGAGCTCACGGTAGCAGGGTGCACATACGGAATTTCGTCAACATTCCGGATGATTTAGTCAAAGACCCGGATTTTGAGGGGGACGAACTCAAACACATCCGGACACTTAAAGGGCATTCCTCAAAGAGACATCCGGATGCTTAAGGGCGACCCTTAAGAACTTTCGTGCCGGAATCGAATGGTCCTGTCCCTGAGTGAGACGCATCTGCGATCCGAACAGCTGTAGTACAACTGCAGAATTGACTTGTGTTTTCTGTGCTCACAGTCAAACCTAGGTGGGTGATGTTACATTGTTAGGGACATTCAGGAACTTTAATAAATGTGTGCTCTTCTCGAGTACTACTTCATGTGCGCTCTTTGCTTGTAGCAGTCACGACTCGATAGGCCAAAGGGTGTTTCTTAGAGACACACTGAGTCAGGGTACCCTTTGATAGAACCCGGACCAGAAAGGGTGGCCTTTCTACGGATTCGGAATTTTACGTATGTTTACGTGGGGGCCCCGGAGGCATCGGGGTCTCTAAAAACGAAAAATTAGCCCTGGAGTGAAAGCATGGAGTGACAGCGGCCAATAGAGACTTGGAACGTCTGAGATTCGAGAATGTTCCCAAGTTTTCCCAACAATCATTCTTCTGCATTGGGCTAGAGCTGACCAGAAAAGAGCCCTAAATTTCCAGAAAGTGGCTGACCATGGTCCCTTGTGAATGTGTGAGTCGAACCTAAGTTCTTGACAACCATTCCCGTGGTCGCAGCTCCAGACCTAAACATTCCGCACACACCTGCTTAGAACTGTTAAGAATTAAATCCAGTATCACAAAATCCCAGCTCCCACAACCGTCCCAAATATCCCGTAGGAGAGGACAAATACAGTACACCCTGTTTCGCGCTACACTGTCAATGGCTATACGAACCGATCGGATGTACACACATCAATGCGTCTAGGATGGTCCATGCACATCCAATATAAGCACTTTTGCTCGCACTCAACCGTACCCAAAAGCAAGTTGTTTTCTGAAAACCGTTGTGTACCGTTCACCAGGAGTCCATTTGCCCGTCACTACCTGCAGTTGGGCTGTAAGCACAAGACCGCTACGTTCCAAGCAACAGTACACACTGCAGCATGTGAATCTTATTGTCAGTGTAGCGCGAAAGAGGGTGTATCGGTAGTCCCAAATTTGTCCTGGAAGACCCGCCTTTGGCACGTGCCCGAAAGACTCTTTTGGGACCTGAACTTTTTGCTGATGTCGGAGGGAGGTTCAGGCAGGGGTGGGTGGTGGTGTGGGAGAGGTCATTGTGAAAAATCCAGCCAGCCCGTGTCGAATCCAGGCATTGCCCAGATCCCACCCGTACATGGAAGTTAGGCAACAGTGTGTAACACTTTGTTTTGTGCAACGTGGCCGATACTTACCTTCAAATTTCTAGGGTGAATTGGACAAATGCGTTTGTAACAGTTCATGTCCGACAAGACAATGGATCACGATTACGGTTACTTGTTAATGGCGACATATGTTGTGATCCGACTGTGGGGATTGTTGGACGAGCTCGTTGAGAAAATACTGTTCATTACGCTCCAACCACACGCAACACGAGAGAGCTTATCCTCCGAACTGTGAGGAAGGAGGCGTCGCATCACCACACCTATGGATGAGTGCACTCCACACAAGGGTAGTGCACAGCACAGCACTTGACACACCGCCGAGCAAACTACTATGGTTTTTTCCGAAACAAAGGTGATTTCGGACGCTTCATAATAAAGTGGGGGGTATACTTCAGGAAACCCTAGAGTTCCACAATCTTGCAACTAAGCGTATCGAACCGAGGCACAAACAGCCACAGGTCCAGCACATGCTGTTCTGCTCTCTTCCCGGCTGAGAAGTTCTTTAACAACAGAGCAAATCCGAACGTGCAATGATCTCAATACCCCATAACAGTCGTAGTACCACAGTACTGGCAGGAAATGACATGTAGACATATGCTGCTGTGGTGGCACTCCTCTTTTCGGACTCTGATCGCGTGGATGATGCGATGCTGCCGCCAGTACAGCTTAACGATGAACCCCACAAGTTATCACCCCTTCAGCCGACTATGATGGCTGCAAAATTAGATTACTCCCAGACTTGTTGGCCCTTCGAATGTGCTCTAGTCAGACTAACGTCTAAGATGCAGTATTTTTTTCTCCTCAGAAAATAATTATTTTGCTTTATTCTGAATCCGGGAACAAACGCCTCCTCATATCTTTGTGGAATTTAATAAGAGAATCTATTCGGGAAAAGGACAAAAAAAAATGTTGGATTACACCCAGCCAACCCTCCATGAGATTTGCGGTGCACTTTGCAACTGGTAACTTTGGGCCGTGATTGGGTCGACTTTGCGTGAAGCTGTGTAGATAGCCCCGATGTACCATTGGGGGTGAGTTGGTCTTTTCCCAATTTTCGAGACGCATGGAATATGGTGGAGTTATGGAACATGGACAAGAACACGAAACAAGGCGGGTTGGGTTAGGGGCTGCATCAGGACTAGAACGGCTGAGAATGCCGAGAGAGCAGTTACAAAAGGGGCAGATTATGCCACCTCAGCAGCAGCCACCAAAGCAGCAGATGCCGCAGCACATACAACAGCAGCAGATTCAAAATCAGAAGATTCAACCACAGCAGATGCAACGGCAGCACGGCCAACAGCAGCAAGTATTGGAAAAGCAGCAGATGCAACAGGGGAAGCTGACATAGCAGATGCTACGGATTGAGTTTCGGCGACAGAAGCAGATGCAGCAACAGCTAATGCCACAGCAGTTTGCACCTACACTGCTACAGCCACACTTACACCAACCACTAGAACAAGATGAGGCTGCCGCTGCTGCAAACCCATCGGAGTCTGGAGTCAGGCGCACGACACTGACGCGCAACCGAAACTACAACCAGCAAGGGAAGTATAGGGGAGTGAGGAAGCGTGGGGCGTCCAGCTACATCGCAGAGATTAAAGACACCACTCATGGGGTCCGCAGGTGGCTGGGCACGTTTTCATCTGCAGAGGAGGCTGCTCGGTCGTTTGATGAAGCTGCTTTCAACATTCGAGGATCCACGGCGAAGCTTAACTTTCCAGAGGAATTTATCAAGGAAAAGGGAGAACTCGAAGCGGCGGATAAGATGGAGACGACGGGAAGGGAGGCTGGTGGTGAGAGTAGTGGCCCAGGGATGCTGAGGAATGGGGTATCTCTAGGAGGGGCTGGAGAGGGCGGTTCTAGTAGAGCTGGAGGGAAAGGGAAAGAAGCAGCACGTGATGAAGATGCTGCAAAAGGGCGATGGGCGGTCGTGGACGTGTCCGAGATGAATCTGTTTGGCGAGGGAACAAGTAGGTCAGTGTCAGCGGCTGCTACAGGAACAGGTGTAGGTTTCGGGGGAGGAGGAGGAGGAGGAGGAGGAGGATGAGGAGGAGGAGGAGGAGGAGGAGGAGGAGGAGGAGGAGGAGGAGGAGGAGGAGGAGCAGCAGTAGGAGCAGCAGCAGGGGCAGCAGCAGTAGCAGCAGCAGCGGCAGCAAGAGTAGGAGGGGTATGCGTAGCAGTAGAGGCATCAGCGGTCAGTGCTAGTGGGAGTAGAGCAGGACCGGCATACACCGCTGAAGGAAGCTCCGCTATAAGCAGAAACAGCTCCAGCAGAGCCGCCCCTTTCTCCTCTGCCCCATCCGCCTCCTCTTCCACCTCGTCTTCTCTCCTGCACTCTACCCTTCCTGCAATGTCTGCTCCTTCAACATCTGCCCTTCTCTTTCATTCCTCTCTTCCTCCTTCCTCTGCCGCTTCCGCCTCTGCCTCTTTCCTACACTCCTCCGTTCCTGTCAACTCAGCCCCTTTCACATCTGCCTCTTTCCTACACTCCACCCTTCCTGCTATGTATGTCGCTGAAAATGCACTCACCAACCTTCCGCTCCCGGTCCCGTGTCCAGGTTATGCTGGTGTACTGCTTTCCTCTGTTATCACACCAACCCTTGGTGGTGCTACCATGTGATGCTGTTCCAGCCAGCAGCAGGATCCATCGTGTGCTGGAGTAGATGGGAGTGGGCTTCCAAGATTTTATGTGCCGGGAGAAGATTCAGGCAGGTTTGAAGGGTTGGGATTCTACGGTCTGACAGCAGGTGAAGGGGGGCAATCCTATGCGTTTGCGGAGAGGTTCCCTCGCCAGCTCGTGGGGGTTGAAGAAGCCAATGCAACTGGTGGAAGTGGGTTTGGTGCGGTAAAAAGGCAAGGAGGGAGCGGAAGCGTGGGAGGTATCTGCAGAGGAAAATATCAGTGGAAGCATAGGGACTACCGGCAAGAAAGGGGTGATGGAGGAGGAGGGTGTCATGCAGATGAGGAATCTAGCCGGTATACGGGGGGCTCCAGGAATAGATGGGCATTTTGATGGTCTTGCTTCTCGTGATGAATGGGTGGCAAGTGAACACCACTATCAGCTGCCTTATATCCACCACTCTCAGCAGCAGCAGCAGCAGCAGCAGCAGCAGCAGCAGCAGCAGCAGCAGCAGCAGCAGCAGCAGCAGCAGCAGCAGCAGCAGCAGCAGCAGCAGTACCAACCGACAGCACGCTTGTTGTTGCCGCTGCCGCTCCCGCTGCCGCTCCCACAACACCAGCCGCAGCAGCAAGAACAGCAGACAAAACGTTTATTGTTGCCGTTGCCCCTGCCGCTGCCACAACACCAGCAGGAGCACCGGTTGCAGCAGCATAAACAGCCGACAGAACGTTTTTTGTTGCCGCTGCCGCTGCCATTGCCACTGTCGCTGACACAACACCAGCAGGAGCACCGGTTGCACCAGCGAGATTCACCTCTTGCTATTCCCAACTCCACACAACCCCAACAATCTACAGCTACCACACCTCTTCCTGAAACTGAGGCTAATGAAACCAGTCCTTCAAACCAAGGCTTGTCGAATCAGAGAACAATAGAGACGGAAGGACAGCAAGGAAGTTCTGTGGGTTTTGAAGGTAAAAATGGTAGTGGTAACTGCATAATGCAAAGCATATCTGATAGTACAGCTAACTTGGTGTTTAGGAAGCGTCAGGAGCGGTTATTTTGTTCTAAGGGTGGTAACAAAAACTACATGATGCCAAGGTTTCCAGAAATGCAGGCAAACCAACAGAGCATGTCACTTCAGGGGCAGTCTGTAGCATCAGGTCCATCCTCACAGCAGCACCACCCACGTCAAAAAGGTCAATGGGGTCAATGGGGTCCACGGGGTCAACGTAGTCAACAGAGTCAACAGGGTCAACAGAGTCAACATGGTCAACAGGGTCAACAGGACCAAGGGGCAGGTGCGGTAGCGAATCCGTCCGTTTTGTCGGGTGTGGAGCAGACTGGAACTCCTGTAGGACTCTCGGCACTGGCAGCAGGGCAGCAGACGATGGCAGCAGCGCAGCAGGCGAAGGCAACAGGGCAGCAAGCATCGGCAGCAGGGCAGCACGCAGTGACAGGGGAACAAGCGTTGGCAGCAGTGCAACATGCAGGCTATAGGGGGTTCATTGTTGGGGTGCCTGAGAAAGTGGTGATGGCTGGTGGGGACGCATCCCTTCAAGAAGCAGAGGAGGCAGAGGAGGCGGCGGAGGCAGTGGAGGGGGTGGAGGGGGTGGAGGGGGTGGAAGGGGTGGCGGGGGTGGAGGGGGTGGCGGCAGTGGAGGTTCCCAACATGGCAGGTACAGCTTCAAGCATGCTTCCTAGCTGGCATGCTGAAACGATGCGGTATCCGCCTGTCATGATGCCCCCATTTATGCCGCTTGGTAGATACGGTCATGGCATGCAGAATGCTTCTACCATGTCCCTTGGATCTTCTGATGTTTTGAGTCCTTGCGCGCAGCAGCAGCAGCAGCAGTACCTCACGCCAAGCTTCCGGCGACGCAACTCTCTCGATCTGAAGGCTCGCAGGAGGGGCAAGGCAGCTGCACGGTGTGCTTCTGCAGACCTCGTTCAGGAATCTCTGTTCATGGAGGACAGTATAGAGCTGCAGACATTCCAGGATAGCAGGAACCACACCCCAGACTTGGAAAATGACGACCCAATCTCCAAGCGTTCCAGCCCTCCTTGGTCCGAACCTCGACTCAAGCCTCATCACAAGCCTCACTCCAAACCTGCGCCACTTATTTCTCGGAGCCACAGCGTCTCTTTCCCCCTGAAGCCACCGGTCCTCAGTGCTGCGACCTCTGATTCCCAGCCTTGTGTGGAAAACACATGTGGTGTTGGTGGTGTAAGTGGTGCAAGTGGTGCTGGTGTTGGTTGTGATTCGGGTGCTATGGGTCCTATGGATGTCGTATCTCCAGCAGGTGCACGTGCGGGTAGTGGACGTGTTACCTGTGCTGCTGGTATATCCTGTGGTGCTGCTGCTGGTGGTGATGCAGCTGCTTCTGGTGCTGCTGGTGATACCGCTGCTTCTGCTGCTGCTCGTGATGCCGGTGCTTCTGGTTCTGTTGGTGTTCTTGGCGCTCCTGGTTCTGCGTGTGTTGCTGGTGTCGCTGGTGCTGGTGTTGTCAGTGATGGTGTCGCTGATGCTGGTATTGCTGGTTTTGGTGTTTCTGGTGCTGGTGTTGTCTGCGCTGTTGTTGCTGGAGCTGGTGTCGCTGCTGCTGGTGTTGTCCATGCTGGTGTTTCTGGTGCTGCCAGTGTTCCTGATATGGCAGGTGGTTCTGGTGCTACTGGCGGTGCTCATGTTACCAGTGCTGCTGGGTTCACCAGACCTGTTGGCGTTGCTGGTGTGGTTGGGCTTCCATCCAACCCACCCTGCTCTCTCCCAACAGAACCATACTCCCCCATGCACAGGTTCAGACAATCACGGTCGCATGAACAGGGCCGAATTGGAGCGGGGTAGCTGGACAGGGGAATGCTGCGTGCGCGAACGTACCAACCAGGAAGGGCAGCCAGAAATTACGCCCAAGGGTTGCCGAATTATCTGGAAGAGCAACCACGGGTGGTGCATACCAGCAGGTTCAGACACGTGCCTTACGATTTGCCTCACAAGCAGCCTGGCAGGTATGGCCACGTGTCCCCGCATCAGTAGCAGCAGCAGCAGCAGCACAGAGAGGTGGAAGGGCAGCAGAGGCTGTGGCTGGTGGAACCGCAGATGGCTCAGCCACAGCAGTGGCAGCAGCAGCATCCGCAGCCAGAGCTACATCAGCAGTTGCAGTTGATGCAGCAACAAGAGCAGATGCAGCAGTATCAGAAAGCCCCACTCATACAGTCCCTCCCCCTCATAACACCTTTTCAGTCGACCCAAATCCCGCCTCGCAGTCTGTCTCTTCCTCCCATACCGCCTGCTGCAATCACCTCCACCGCTGTAGCCGCTGCTGCAGCTGCTACCCACATTGCTGCCGGCGTTGCTGCCGGCTTTTCTGCTGCTGCCGGCACTGCTGCCTACAATGCTGTTGGCCTTGCAGTCCTCACTCCCCTCGCCTCTCCAACCACCATCTTCCACAGTACTGCCAGATTGCCTCGATCCAATCACCCAGAGCAGGGTGAGTTTAAAACCACGGATGATGCCGCCTCTGGGAGAGCAACAATCGACAGCACTGTGAATGGTGGTGCTGGCAGCAGCAGTGGAGATGTCTTGATGCAGGAAGTCACAGCAGCAGGCTCTGGGGCTGTATACATTGGCGGTGGTGCGGATCACTCTATAGTGGAGCACTCTAATGTGGAACAGCCTAGTGAGGAGGAACAGCCTAGTTCGGACCAGCCTAGTCTGGACAAGTCTAGTGCAGAACAGCCCAGTTCGTCGGACCAGCCAAGTTCGGACCAGCCAAGTTCTGAGCAGCCTATTCTGGAAAGTCTCTGTGTTGACGAGCTGTGTGCCCTCCAGCATTACACCACAGCAGGTTTGGACCTTTCTCTGCCTGACCGCGCAGCGGGTTGGTTGTTTCTAGAGGCTCAAGACACACACCCCACTGCAGATGCTGCGGGGAACCTCGTCACCCCGTTCTCCTGCCTCCCTCAACGCACAGCAGCTGCTGCTGGTGGGGACCTCGCCACCACCCCGTTCTCTCGCATCGACAGGACAGCATGTTTCAGTTTCGAGAATTATGGCTGCTCCGTCCCCTTTATAGAGCTTTTGAGAGGGGCAGGAGAGGGATTGGAGGCTGGGAGAGAGGCTGTGGATGCGGCAGGGTCGGCATATGCAGCAGATGAGCAGCATTTGGGGGACACTGCGGCTGGAGGTGGAATCTACACCGTGGATCCGCTGGAGATGTTCTTCCTGAATGATGGGGAGCCTAGGGACTAAGTATAAGTGATGGGAAGCATGCATGATCTATAACATAACATAACATTTATATACATTATTATATTTATGAATTAACGATACCGTACAGGTCACAGGAGATGGTGGACAGGTGATTCTGGATAGGGACGGTGGGAAGAGCGAGAAAACCACTTCCATCGTTTCTTCCCAAAGGAATGTGCAGCTCAGAATTGCCATAAAGGTTGGTTCCTCCTCCTCTCACTACATCCCCACCTTTGAGTCGACTCGAACAAAGGTGACACAGTGGTCACAATTGCCACCAAGCTATGTAGTTGCCGCCACTGTGCTCATGCAGGAAAGGCGGACTGTCCTTGCGCTGTGCGGTGCGATGCAGAACGGTGATAACACCATCGTCTCGCTGTTGGGTAACGACTCAGAATGACTCGTCACATCTCAAAAACTTGCTGCTGTGTTGACCACTGTTGTTGTGACAAGTGTTTAGAGCCCAGTCCCTATGCAAAAACGGTAATTATGTGAGACGAGAACTAAAGAATGGATTTGGAGGGTCTTGCATTGATAGAAAAAATGATGTACTGCTGGCATAATCACATCAACCTTGCTAAAACTTCACGTTGCACTCCTCCTCCTTGCACCGTTGCACACCGAGCTGGGATATTGCACAGCAAGGGTGTGTGTGTGGGAGGAGGGGGGGGTGGGGAGTGGGGGGGGGGGGGTGGGGGGGGGGGAAGAAGGTACCGTTCGACAGGTAAGCCAGCGAAGGTGGATGAAACCGGAAAATATGAAGATGCAGGTTGGGGTCGGGGATCGATCTTTAAAAAGCATGCGAGTTCTGACAATTGCAGAAAAGAGATGCCTTGCTACACACAGAGAGCAAAAGGGCACGCATGCGAGAATGGGGTGGGAGGGGAGATAGGGGGGGGGTTGAGCAAGCACGGGTGGCAAAATTCTTGAGACGGCAAGATTCTTAAGACAAGACGAATGCAGGGCAGCAATTCGAGAGGGGTTACACTGCAGCCCACCTTGTTGCGTCTGCGCTCCTCTATCACAGCTTGCAATGACGGCCGGCCTGTCAAGAACCCGATGCAGTGTGCGCGCACACACACACACACAGACACGCACACACGCACACAGACACGCAAGCACGCACACACACAGACACGCCCACACGCACACAGACACGCAAGCACGCACACACACAGACACCCACGCACGCATGCATGCACGCGCGCACACACAGAGATGCAGGAGTATAAGCATGAGAGGTACGAATAACCTATAAAGCACCTCAAAAGTAGACACATTCATCAACATCCCAGGATTTCAATATAGATAGTTGTATACGACGCTGATGAGGTGCCTTAATAAGAGACATAAGTTTATACAAGCCAGCGCATAGCATGAGGTGCATGAGGTAACCACATAACTGCCATGCTCAAGTTTTGTGAGCACTATTTGGCCCACACTCACCTGAGAGTGGCAGGCTGTATTTGGCCCACACTCACCTGAGAGTGGCAGGCTGTATTTGGCCCACACTCACCTGAGAGTGGCAGGCTGTATTTGGCCCACACTCACCTGAGAGTGGCAGGCTGTATTTGGCCCACACCTACCTGAGAGTGGCAGGCTGTATTTGGCCCAGACCTACCTGAGAGTGGCAGGCGGTATTTGGCCCAGACCTACCTGAGAGTGGCAGGCGGTATTTGGCCCACACCTACCTGAGAGTGGCAGGCTGTATTTGGCCCACACCTACCTGAGAGTGGCAGGCAGTATTTGGCCCACACCTACCTGAGAGTGGCAGGCTGTATTTGGCCCACACCTACCTGACAGTGGCAGGCGGTATTTGGCCCACACCTACCTGAGAGTGGCAGGCGGTATTTGGCCCACACCTACCTGACAGTGGCAGGCGGTCTTTGGCCCACACCTGCCTGACAGTGGCAGGCGGCATTTGGCCCACACCTACCTGACAGTGGCAGGCGGTATTTGGCCCACACCTACCTGACAGTGGCAGGCGGTATTTGGCCCACACCTACCTGACAGTGGCAGGCGGTATTTGGCCCACCCCTACCTGACAGTGGCAGGCACTATTTGGCCCACACCTACCTGACAGTGGCAGGCGGTATTTGGCCCACACCTACCTGACAGTGGCAGGCGGTATTTGGCCCACACCTACCTGACAGTGGCAGGCGGTATTTGGCCCACACCTACCTGACAGTGGCAGGCGGTATTTGGCCCACACCTACCTGACAGTGGCAGGCGGTATTTGGCCCACACCTGCCTGACAGTGGCAGGCGGTATTTGGCCCACACCTACCTGACAGTGGCAGGCGGTATTTGGCCCACACCTACCTGACAGTGGCAGGCGGTATTTGGCCCACACCTACCTGACAGTGGCAGGCGGTATTTGGCCCAGACCTACCTGAGAGTGGCAGGCTGTATTTGGCCCACACCTACCTGAGAGTGGCAGGCAGTATTTGGCCCACACCTACCTGAGAGTGGCAGGCGGTATTTGGCCCACACCTACCTGACAGTGGCAGGCGGTATTTGGCCCACACCTACCTGACAGTGGCAGGCGGTATTTGGCCCACACCTACCTGAGAGTGGCAGGCGGTATTTGGCCCACACCTACCTGAGAGTGGCAGGCGGTATTTGGCTCACACCTACCTGAGAGTGGCAGGCGGTATTTGGCCCAGACCTACCTGAGAGTGGCAGGCGGTATTTGGCCCAGACCTACCTGACAGTGGCAGGCGGTATTTGGCCCACACCTACCTGACAGTGGCAGGCGGTATTTGGCCCACACCTACCTGACAGTGGCAGGCGGTATTTGGCCCACACCTACCTGACAGTGGCAGGCGGTATTTGGCCCACACCTACCTGAGAGTGGCAGGCGGTATTTGGCCCACACCTACCTGACAGTGGCAGGCGGTATTTGGCCCAGACCTACCTGAGAGTGGCAGGCTGTATTTGGCCCACACCTACCTGAGAGTGGCAGGCGGTATTTGGCCCAGACCTACCTGAGAGTGGCAGGCGGTATTTGGCCCACACCTACCTGACAGTGGCAGGCGGTATTTGGCCCAGACCTACCTGAGAGTGGCAGGCTGTATTTGGCCCACACCTACCTGACAGTGGCAGGCGGTATTTGGCCCACACCTACCTGACAGTGGCAGGCGGTATTTGGCCCACACCTACCTGACAGTGGCAGGCGGTATTTGGCCCACACCTACCTGACAGTGGCAGGCGGTATTTGGCCCACACCTACCTGACAGTGGCAGGCGGTATTTGGCCCACACCTACCTGACAGTGGCAGGCGGTATTTGGCCCACACCTACCTGACAGTGGCAGGCGGTATTTGGCCCACACCTACCTGACAGTGGCAGGCACTATTTGGCCCACACCTACCTGACAGTGGCAGGCGGTATTTGGCCCACACCTACCTGACAGTGGCAGGCGGTATTTGGCCCACACCTACCTGACAGTGGCAGGCGGTATTTGGCCCACACCTACCTGACAGTGGCAGGCGGTATTTGGCCCACACCTACCTGACAGTGGCAGGCGGTATTTGGCCCACACCTACCTGACAGTGGCAGGCGGTATTTGGCCCACACCTACCTGACAGTGGCAGGCGGTATTTGGCCCACACCTACCTGACAGTGGCAGGCGGTATTTGGCCCACACCTACCTGACAGTGGCAGGCGGTATTTGGCCCAGACCTACCTGAGAGTGGCAGGCTGTATTTGGCCCACACCTACCTGAGAGTGGCAGGCAGTATTTGGCCCACACCTACCTGAGAGTGGCAGGCGGTATTTGGCCCACACCTACCTGACAGTGGCAGGCGGTATTTGGCCCACACCTACCTGACAGTGGCAGGCGGTATTTGGCCCACACCTACCTGAGAGTGGCAGGCGGTATTTGGCCCACACCTACCTGAGAGTGGCAGGCGGTATTTGGCCCACACCTACCTGAGAGTGGCAGGCGGTATTTGGCCCAGACCTACCTGAGAGTGGCAGGCGGTATTTGGCCCAGACCTACCTGAGAGTGGCAGGCTGTATTTGGCCCACACCTACCTGAGAGTGGCAGGCAGTATTTGGCCCACACCTACCTGAGAGTGGCAGGCGGTATTTGGCCCACACCTACCTGACAGTCGCAGGCACTATTTGGCCCACACCTACCTGACAGTGGCAGGCGGTATTTGGCCCACACCTACCTGACAGTGGCAGGCGGTATTTGGCCCACACCTACCTGACAGTGGCAGGCGGTATTTGGCCCACACCTACCTGACAGTGGCAGGCGGTATTTGGCCCACACCTACCTGACAGTGGCAGGCGGTATTTGGCCCACACCTACCTGACAGTGGCAGGCGGTATTTGGCCCACACCTACCTGAGAGTGGCAGGCGGTATTTGGCCCACACCTACCTGAGAATGGCAGGCGGTATTTGGCCCACACCTACCTGAGAGTGGCAGGCGGTATTTGGCCCAGACCTACCTGAGAGTGGCAGGCGGTATTTGGCCCAGACCTACCTGAGAGTGGCAGGCTGTATTTGGCCCACACCTACCTGAGAGTGGCAGGCAGTATTTGGCCCACACCTACCTGAGAGTGGCAGGCTGTATTTGGCCCACACCTACCTGACAGTGGCAGGCGGTATTTGGCCCACACCTACCTGAGAGTGGCAGGCGGTATTTGGCCCACACCTACCTGACAGTGGCAGGCGGTATTTGGCCCACACCTACCTGACAGTGGCAGGCGGTATTTGGCCCACACCTACCTGACAGTGGCAGGCGGTATTTGGCCCACACCTACCTGAGAGTGGCAGGCGGTATTTGGCCCACACCTACCTGACAGTGGCAGGCGGTATTTGGCCCAGACCTACCTGAGAGTGGCAGGCTGTATTTGGCCCACACCTACCTGAGAGTGGCAGGCGGTATTTGGCCCAGACCTACCTGAGAGTGGCAGGCGGTATTTGGCCCACACCTACCTGACAGTGGCAGGCGGTATTTGGCCCAGACCTACCTGAGAGTGGCAGGCTGTA